TCAAGATTCAGGATATGGCTGGACGTGCTGCTTTACATGAAGCGGTCGGGCGACGCGCCTGATTACGATCATTGAAGCTGGGCGCGCAAAGATGTGTACCGCGGACGAGGGGCGCTTCAGATGATTCTATCGGCTCCAGAACGATTACGCATATTGGCATGAACTGGCTGGATCACGAGTAATGGAAGAGTAGCCAAGGTTTGGGGTGAAGAAATGTTGGAGTGTGGTGTTGGTAACCAGGGTCTTGCTCCCAAACGCCCAGTAAATTGGAAACAGCGACCCGGGCGCGACCCGACTGCCTCGCACCACGACTAATCTCCAACACCGACACGACGGCATAAAGTGTCCACCACGCGCATCGGCCGCCCACACCCTCGAACGGCGATCGCACACACAATCATGTCGTCCTACCTAAACAACCTCCTTACGAACACGACTTCGCGCTACAACAATCTGCGACGACAAATCCTCTCGGACGAAGCAGACGGCGACACAGAAGACGACTCGCATCTTTCCAGAGTTCTTCGCGCATACTACACAGAGAAAGGACGGCCCTTTCCGCAATGGCTCCCGCCCGACCCAAAGGCACCGCAGCCTGCGCCCGCCCAGTTCGTGTCTTCGCGACAACAGGCACAAGCACAAACAGCAGGCCGAGGAGGAGGCTTGAACGACCTCTGGGATAATCCCGCGCCACAACAACCACCGCAAGAACCACAGTCACTTCGCCGAGGGCCAGGAGCACGGGGCGGTGGAGCGCGTCCCATGCAAGGCCGGCCCATGGGCAACTCGTTGACGCCAGACCCTCAAATACAAGGCAGACCACTGCCCAGCCAACGAGCAGGGAGCTACCAAAGCTCATTGGGAGGACGCTCACAAGCAGAAGCTTCACCACCACCGAGCGCGGGTACAGGGTCGGGCACAACAGCACAGGAAAGGCTCAAGGCCAGGTTATGGGGACGGTCACAGAGCCCAGCACCGCGTGGACTTTCTTCAGAATCCGCCAACTCGCAATCGTCTCCGCAAGCTGGACGGGCGCCCTACCCTGAAGATCGGAGTCACAGCTATGGAAGTACTGGTAGCGGCGGCGGGAGACCACAGGGCTCATTTGGCATGTCGTCGAACTCCCCATGGAGCGGGAACGATGATCCGTATGCGCCCCAAGGTGGAGGATACGGCGGCGGCGCACCTCCACCACAACGCGGACCGCAAGGTGGGCGTATGGGCTTGCCAAGCGGACCGCGCATGCGTTGAGCATCTACCTGTTGTATGCAGCACGGCGTAACGGAGTTGGATCTTGGTCGTCACTGGGTGGGAAGCATGGGGTTTGTAGACCTGGCCACATAGACGAATACCTAATCAATACATTCAGCTCATAATAACTTCAAAGCATAGTTTTGTTCAGAGCTATCTTGCGCACAGTGTCGCGACTAGAGCACATTACTCGATGCGATAGGGCTGGGGCAACGCGTTCCCTGCCCCGCGGGTGGCACGCTACACAGCCACAGCCCCGGCCCTCCAGCGTCATCGGGCGCAGGTCACTGCCCGCAAGCATCACCTGCAACTGCATAGCGCCAAACGAGTACGCGCCTCTTTCTTGCTTTACCACCGTACTACTTGGAATATCTCCTGCACATAATATCTGGCCATCTTACTCGGAACCCATCACCAACCTCCACTCCGCGTCTTTGGGACGCCGCCTAGCCCCGCATGACTTCGTCGGCCCCAGCGCCCCCATCGCCCTCGGCCAGCTTCTACGACCTGAGCGACGACGAAGAAGGCGAATACAACACGATCCGCCATACAAGCAGCGGAAAGGGTGTGAAGTTACTATACACCAAGAGCAAGGTACGTAAAGCCTATCCAACGCAGCATGATGGAAGTAGGCTAACATGTGCAGGTCTACGTGCATCCCTCGCCTTCCTCCAAAGACAACATCCCAGGCTTCGTCGCTCTCGTCCAGCAGAAGTCTAACCGAACCGTTAACGACACGCGTCCAACCTCCTCCTCCTCCGCTCGCAGCGTGAACGCGTCATCGCTACTCCTCGCCTGGATACCAGAGTCAAACCTCGGCGATGCATATGATACATACGTCAAGGTCGATCTATCCGACTCGTCATCACCTCCCAGACAGTCATACCTCGTACCTCCACCTCCCACACCATCTACACATGCCGGAACTCCCGGATATGCATTCGCCCTGCCTGTCAGCGAGATATACTCAGTCCTCATACGGCCACCAAGCATCGGATGGTGGTTTGGCAGCGTCGTCATCAATACTCGGGCTGGTGACAGTTTCCCTGCGCTCTTCTTCCACGATAGCGAGTGCCAGTCTACCATAATGCAGCGGAAGAAGCTGGCCAAGGAAAGCTTCGATCCGTTTGGCGACGGAGGCGGCATGTTCTGGGGCGGCGACGAGGTGCTGAGATGGCTCAAGAGATACGTCGCAGTCGAACGGTCTGGTGCTGACCCAAGCATATACCTTATCGACCCCTCGGAAGACGACAAGCGATCCTTCGGCAAAGACGTTGCACCAAGGAAGAGCACCGAAGGCAAAGCAGACGCCTCATCTTCGCAGTCTGGTAAACGGGACGGCGGGATGGATCCCGTCACAAAGGCGCTCAAGGAAGCAAGATGGAACTTCCTCGAGAAGCTTAGCCAGGTCACCACCTTCACGCGAAGGACTGCTCAAGCCGTCGCAGACAACCCCAAGATTCCGCCTCAGGTTAGACGCCTGATTCAGAACCCAGAGGTCCAGACACTACAAGAAGAGTTCGACAGCGCACGGTTGTACCTCGCAAGATGGGCTATGGGCATTGCAGAACAAAGCGAGCGAGAAAGGAACCAGCGGATATGGACAGCAAAGGACGTTCTGGCTATGGAGGAGAGCGATGTCGGCGACTTCGAGATTCTTGACATGGATAAGATGACCATGGCCGACCGAAGAAAACCTGTCACGTTGGAAGAATGGAAAGGATTCTTCGACCCCAAGGGACGGTTGCAACTGACACCAGACGAAGTCAAAGACCGCGTCTTTCATGGAGGTCTTGACCCTGATGATGGCGTGAGGAAAGAAGCATGGCTGTTCCTTCTCGGGGTCTACGACTGGGATAGCTCCGACGAAGAGCGTCGCGCGAACATTAACAGTAGGCGCGATGAGTACATTCGGCTGAAGGGCGCTTGGTGGGAGCGAATGGTCGAAGGGAATCAGAATGAAGAGCAAGAGGAATGGTGGAGAGAACAAAAGAACAGAATAGGTATGCATCCTTGCACTTTACGTCCTTGCTTGAAACCTGGCTGACTTGTCCCATTCTATGGGGTCCGTTGTGTAGAGAAAGATGTACATCGCACAGATCGCAATATTCCCATCTTCGCCGGCGAGGACATTCCTCACCCGGACCCCGACTCGCCTTTTGCGGAAACTGGCACCAACGTTCACTTGGAGCAGATGAAAGACATGCTTCTTACGTACAACGAATACAACAAGGATCTCGGCTACGTTCAGGGCATGAGCGATTTGCTTGCGCCCATCTACGCTGTCATGCAGGATGATGCTGTTGCATTCTGGGGCTTTGTTGGATTCATGGAGCGCATGGTATGTACTGATTCGATGGTCATTGTAAACAAGTATAAGGACTGACGCTCATACAGGAGCGCAACTTCCTACGCGACCAGTCGGGCATGCGCAAGCAACTCACGACACTCGACCACCTTGTGCAGCTCATGGACCCCAAGCTGTATCTTCACCTTCAGTCCGCTGAGTCGACGAACTTCTTTTTCTTTTTCCGCATGTTGCTCGTTTGGTACAAACGCGAATTCGAGTGGCCAGATGTTCTGCGGTTGTGGGAGTCGCTCTGGGCCGACTACCAGAGCAGCAACTTTCACATCTTCATTGCACTAGCTATTCTGGAAAAGCACCGAGATGTGATTATGGCGCACCTGAAGCACTTCGATGAGGTGCTCAAGTATGGTAAGCTATACAATCAAAGCAGCCCACATTAACAGTGAATGATCCTAACATTATCATAGTCAACGAGCTCTCCGGTACTATGGATCTCGAATCAACGCTCGTTCGCGCGGAATCGCTCTTCAAGAGGTTTCAGCGAACGGTAGAGACAATCGACAAGAAAGGCAACTTTCCCTCCGCTCCGCAAGCCCGACAACGCAAGTTGGCTGCTGCGATCGTCGCTGGCCCCGGGCCAAGTACGTCCTCAAGTGCGTCACCAGCGAAAGACCAAGCGTCGACTTCCGGCACAGATAAGGGCAAGCAGGTTGGTGAAGAGGAGCAAGATGAGGCGAGGGTCATCAGTCCTGAGCTACGTGCACTGCTAAGCAGGAAGGTGGAGAAGCTCGACAAGCAGACTATCTTGGAGCACGGTGGTGGTGTTGGCAAGTAAAGTCGGCACATGTCTCATTTTGTTTAATTGTTCATTGGGGGCGGCGTTACGGCACATTTGGATACTTGTGCGGGTATATCACGACTGCTCGAACCCAATGAGACCCCGGTGGTAAGGTCAGGTACACGTGCGATTTTCGAATCGCATCTTCATATTTATCTTGCATATTGTTCCTCACCTCACGCCTTGGCCGAACATTGAACTTTTTGTCGCTTCACCGGTAGCCACGCGCAAGGCGTATGCTTCACTACTTTCGCTGTCATCCTCGTTTTGCACTGCAATCAATCAATGTAAGCGTCCGCCTTTGCGCTCACGTGTCTATCTTGCAGGTCCATCTTTTTACTCCTTCACATCCACAACAGCCAACGCCGCGTCATGAACAAACTACCAACCGTCACCTTTCGCCATGTTAAAAAAGACGAGTACAACAACAGCAGGCCTTCAATGAACTATATCAACCGCTTCATCGATCGCTACTCTCCGACCCATCCGCCGCGCAACACTTCGCATCCCGCGCAGCCTCCCAACAGTCCCGCCACCTCTCCCCATCGTCACAAATCTCAGTCACACTCTCACCATCGGCGCAAACATCACCATCGCGAGAAGATGACATCCTTCAACGGCCCTTGGTCAGGCGATCTCGACGCGTTTAAGAAGTCGGTGCAGTCGATGCCAGATCAGTACAAGTCGTCCTTTGCTGCCGCTTCCAAGAGCACTCTCGAAAAGGTCTGCGACCCAGGTGTCCTTCATATCTGGGAGACCGACTCCGATATCGACAGCCTTCTCCAACTCACGTCGGTCATCGCCAAGCTGTGCGACCTCGGCGTGCGCAAGAACAAGGGCGCGAACGAAAGTGATGGCAGTATGCTGATCATTGCTGAAGAGAGTCGAAGTAGGAACAACTTCGGTCGCATCTGCCAGTTGGTTGAGTATCTGACTGGAGCTGATGGCAAGAAGCATCTCGAAGGCACCGTGGCGGTGTTCAGCAAGATTGTCATAGTGAGGGGATGGGATAACGGCGTTCTATCTGGACAGCAGGAGGCGCTCGAGAAGACAGTGAAGAGAGTCAACACGGCTGTCGAGCAAGTACTGAAGATGGGCGGATTGCAGAAGATAGTCTGGCATCACGGCGCTGTACTGCACTTCCTGCTACAGTGGATCAACATGACAACATCTCCTCTACGATCCGCTTTATCTGCAATCACCGTCACGGGATCCCTCAACCTCGCAGACGGAATAGCACCTTCGGTATCTGGACGAGCGAACAAACTGCCAGATCTCGAGCGCCTGGAACAGTTCGCGAAGAAATTAGACACACCCATTGTCTTCCTCGATGCACCTAGTCAGTTGCTTAACTTCGAGTATCTCGGTACGTATGTGTACTACTACGCTTACTACATCAACACGTTCCTTCCTACCTCGCTGTCGCGACCTCACCTCCACAAAGCGCAAGATGAGCTCGTTACCTTTGCATTCCGACTCCGCGCTGCGAGTGAAGGCAGGTACGGCAGTGACGCAGTAAAGATGGTGCAGAAGCATCTCGATGCGAGCAAGGCGAAACACTGGGCAAGGATGTGCGTGAGCAAAGACAACTACGAGAAGAGCAAGTGTCGTGCAGCCGGCAAAGACGAAACCATACACCACGCTGTTCAGCTAGCAGATAGCCCATTCGCCCTTCTAGCCCACGGCGCGGGAGTACCTGCATTTGCCAGGCTAGCAGTCGGACCCGCCTCTGCTTCCGCACAAGATAATTACACCGCAGCGCCCGTCAATATCGCCTTCACTAAGTCGCAAATCCGACCTACCAGCCCAGCGACCTTCCACATCCTCATCCCACAGTCATCCCAGGATCTCGAAAAAGTCACGAACCGCGTTCAGGGCCTCATGATGGCCGTGCTAGAGCGCGTAAGACAGGAGAAAGGTAACCCTGTGCTCGGAGACACGGAGAAAGGGATGTGGAATGCGGTTGTCAAGGCATGTGAATGGGCGATTGGAGGGTGTGACGAGAGTAAGATGCCTAAAGGTGTGGCGAAGAAAGTTGGATTCGTTAAGGGCAAGTTGAGGGAGGGGACTTGGGGGTTCGCGCTGAACCCACCGAAAGATGTGGGGAAGACGGCTACAACTAACGTGGCTGCGGTGGCTGCGATGCCGGAACCTAATCGAACATATGGGTTTGGACAGAATACGCAGCAGACTAGGGGGTCGCACCTGGCATATAATGGGGCTGAGCAGCAGCAGCAGCAGATGCCGCAGCAAGGCTATGGAGGGGGAATGCCACAGGGGCCTATGCCGAGTCCTGTTCAAGGCGCTGCGTATGCTCAGCCGGTGCCTGGCCAGATGCCAGCGCAAGGTATGTACACTGGTGGTCAGGGTCAAGGTCATATTCAAGGTCAAGACTATGGTGGTGGTTACTTCCCTGGCGGACAAAGTGCGGTGTTGCCGTCGCACCGTGGATTTGAACATGGGGGAAGGGGCGGTGGATACCCACAGAGCATGGGTGGCCCTTGGTGATCTGCGTCACAACTTGACGGTACATAGATAGCACGATTGGATTTGCACACATGAATATACTGGTAAAAGTGAGCATGTTGATGTACTTGAAGTGGCTGCTCATGATGATGATTGATGGGTTGATTTGAGAGCTAACCCGGTTTGGTTGGATACAAAGATGGCTGGGTAATGACGTATGTGGGCAAGCTCCCACCGGGTCACGACGCGTCTACTTCGCTCGCGCGTCGTGCATCACAAATACATCGACATATCTCGAGCCATGGCGTTACTAGAAGATCCTGGCGGATTTACAGCAGTCGACGCGCGCTGTCTCGCGCGAACGGTCTGCCCCTATTCAATCCGATAACAGTACATCCCATTCACGCTTCTTCACAAAACTAACCAAAATGCAACTTCGATGACCGGCGCGCACCAGACCAGGCTCCAATCCGACCGAAGGGCGCATTACCTTCTTTGCAACCCTATGAACAGCCCATCATGGCGGCTACCTTCCCTCTGTTCTCTAAGCTACCTGCCGAACTTCGAGCTTCGATCTGGGGGGTTCGCACTATAGAACGACAAGGCTCACCATGATGCTCAGCATGGGACGAAGACGAATAAAAGACTTACTGTTACGACTAGAATGCTGTGAGCGAGACTGTATCTCGGAAGAGGCTGGTTACCTTGGCGCAAAACCCCGTCGTCGTTTGCGGAAAACTGAGCTTGACGACTACATGTGGTTGCCATGAGTGTGTTTGCTGCACGCAAGTCAGGCTTGAGGGGAGTCACTAGCATGTGACGCCTATTTCGCAATGTCTAGCAATCATGTTGCTGCATATAATACGCCCGCTACAGGCGATAGAAGGTGGAACCACAACTGAGCCATCCTCACAACATGCCACCAAAGAACACGCCTCAAAAGAACGCTTCCAATGCAGGATACTCAAGCGAACACTCCCCCGACGAGCCAGACCAGGAAGTCCTGTCCGATTTTGAGGAAGAAAGCTCTCCTTCCAGTTCAGAGTCTCCACCCAAAGAGAAGCGAGTCACCACGTCCGAAAGCGAGGACAACGACCTCGTTACCGTGAGCAAAGATAGCACACCCAGTCCTACCGCAAGCACCATCCTGATAAGGTTTGAACTTGAGGATACTTTGCTGGCAGGTAAGATGAACGAGAAGTGGAAGAAGAAGTTGAGTGATACAGAGAGGGCGAAGAAGCTTCAGGGACTGCTGGATGAATGCACTGCCAAGAGGGAGGAGGGGGGAAGAGCGGCGGTGGAAGAAATGAAGAGGAGAATGGAGGAGGATGACGAAGAGGAACAATACGAGGGAAAAGGTAAGGGTAAGCAGGTCTAAAGGTACATCAACTTAGATGATGTATAGACAGCAATGTAGTCACTCTGTTGCATCGCTATCTACTGCAATGCGCGTAATACATGTAGGTCATCTCCGATTTAGCAGTCGACGTTGAGTGAGCCAAGATTAACATCTCGAGGAAGCCAATCCAGTCACATTCACCCATCACATATTGCCTTTCACTTTCACTTTCTTTGAGCTATCCTGTCCAAGGATCAATAAGCCCGTTTGGTGACAAGGTCCACAATGGCCAGCTCGACAATAGAACAAAGAGAAAGGCTACCCATTGTCGCCCGTGCAAACATAGTTCAAAAGAGATGGAAGAACTATCGACGCGCGGGAAGTCATCACATCCAAAAAAAATCTTTATGAGACTATCGCAATCTCGCATCAATTCCTACATCATCTACCGTTATCGACTGCATTAGATCAACATGCCTCCGATTACGCGGCGCCAAGCAGCCACCGCCCCTATACATCTCCCTCCCGCACCTCCTCCCCGAAGCCATCGGTCTCGCTTGCCACGTGGAAGGAACCCTCGCAGACCTGCGATTACAAATGCAATTAGCAAAAGATGGCCAGAAGGCCGTCCCGACAAGCAGCCCCGCGGCATTGGCAATTCGGGAAACTCTTGCTACATGAATAGCGCTTTGCAAAACCTCGTCCATCTTCCAAAGTTCTGCAGCTGGATAAAGCAGCATAACGATGCAGCTCTGGGCGCGGATTGGACTTGTCGCGCAAACGATCCGAATCGCCATCTACCGGTGAATCAAACGGAGGACCAAGTGCTCCTTAAGATGGGCGAAAGCATTAAGCAATGCGTAGCCTGCTTGGTAAAGGCTTTTGTCTTGGACTACTGGTCGAATGCTCGGGAAAATGGAAACAATCCTTCTATGAATTTTCCCCACACACGTCCTAGCGTCAAAGCGTTGAACGCCATGGCTAGACGCTGGTCCACTGAGCCCCCCAGCTCCTCTGGACTCACTAAAGCGCAGGGAGAATCAGAGAATGCTTTCATGAATCGAAAGCTTAACAAAGAAAGCGCCAGTGACCGCAATGGGCGCAGGAGAAATGCTGCTGGCCAGCAAGATTCCGATGAGTTCTTGATGAGGTTGCTAAATGCGTGTAAAGACAGTATCGATCCTGGGTAAGTACTCTCTTAACTCCACCCGTGTACAGATCACTGACTGTCTCAACAGTAATCACCAACGACTGGACGAGTTCAACTACCTCTTCACTCTGACCCGGCATGAAGAAATGCGGTGTACACATGGCAGTTGTACACACCTCCACTCCATCGACGACTACGACATCACCAAAGACCTTGGCTTCTCAAACGTCATGATTGCAAAGAATGGGCATAATCATCCTGATCTGCAGACTGCCCTGGCAGGCTCGACATGGCTGGACATCGAAGATATGCCGGTAACATGCGAAGCCTGCAATCATACGGGAGATGTCAAGAAGTTCAAAACGATCGAAGCCGCACCCGAGTACCTTCGCATTAACCTGGAACTGAACTCTTTTGACAAAGATGGGGAACAAGTATTCGACAAGGACGACCAAAGCCTGCCGATCAAGAATACGCATCCCATCATCATCCCCAACGAGCTCGATCTCACTGCATACGTTAGTCCACCGTCTTCACAGCTCCGGTACAAGTTCATCGGCAAGATCATTCACTCCGGTAACCTCACACGAGCGGGTCATTATACCGCATGTGTGACAACCTGTCCTCGAAAAGGCAGACAGAAGAAGGACAGTCCACCACCAATAAAACACTACTTCATCAATGACGATCACCATCTCTTCCCTTTTCCAGGAACCGACATACATCCGCTCACTCATAATCCAGAGACCCAAGGTGACACCGATTTTGAGGCCTCGACTCTGATATACGAAAGATTGCCCAACAGGCCAGGGCCAGTTGCTGAGCTGTATGAGCCACCTGAGAGAATTGGCGTTGTCGGGGTCGTATGGAGGAAGGGGAAGAAGGAAGGGAATCAGGGTGAGAAGAGAAAGAGTGATGAGATAGAAGATGAGAAAGTCGAGGAGAAAAATACCAAGGAGACAGATGAAAGTAAGGGCAAGAAGGAGGCATCAGATGAGCAAAGTCAGGAGCAGAAACCGAAGAAACGGTCAAAGACTTCCGAATCTACTGATCAAAGCTCTTGGGACACCCTCCGTCAGGCTTACAAAATGACAAAGATCCCCGGACCTCTGGACCAGCGCACTTGGACTGCCTATAGTCAGCTTGATGGTTTGTCGAAGACCCACTCTTAGGCTTTTGGATAAGCTCGCGTAGTCTGTAACTATATTTTTATTGATCTGACTACGTTCATCCACCTCTCTTGTCGTTGCCTCGTTACGCTGAAATGAACCGGAAAGACCCAGATTCGCACCATGTATCCTCTACGCCTCATTTTCCCTCCTAACATCCGAGACCGACAGCTCAACAGTAACATCCTGTACAGGGTCGAAGATACTACTAATCTGCTCCAGCGACAGGCCCTTCGTTTCCGGCACATAGAAGAAGATGAAGTTGATAACCGCGACCAAGACACCAATGTAGACCAAGTAGTATTTCCAAGCAATCTTGTCAATCGCCACGGGGTTCACGAATTGGTTAAAAGTGATAGACACAGCTTGCGATACCCAAAACACGCTTGTGCCTTTCGTGCGCAGATGACTAGGCCAGATCTCGTTGACGTAGAGGATGGGTATGGGTGTCAGGCCAATGACGTAGCCACCGAAGAAGAGGAAGAGGAATACAATGACGGCGTAGCCTGCAGATGCGGAGCCGGTGGTCGAGTAGAGGGCCGAGCAGATGGTAATCAGCACCATGAAGACCAACATTAGGCTCGTGGACGTCAAGAAGAGGCGGCGTCGACCGGCCTTTTCGCATAACAGTGCGGCTGCACAGGCTAAGAGCCAGACGTAGACTTGAAGCCCGCCGTTGATGCCTTGTTGATGGAGGGAGTTCGTGATTCCGACCGTTCGGAGTACCGGCGCCAAGTAGAAGCTGATGATCCCGTTTCCGACCCATTGAGTAGCCACGGCAATGACTACAGATAGAACGAGGCGTTTACGGTTGCCTGGTGTGGCAAGCAAGGCCAGCCAGCCAGTAGTGTTACTCTGGGCCTCAGCCGCCGTAGATGCGCACATGCGCGCGAACTCGGAAGATACTAGCTCATCACCAGCGAGCCCATTGGCATGGTATCGTATCATGATAGACTGGGCTTTCTCTTGTTCTCCGTGTCGTACAAGCCACCTAGGCGACTCGGGGCAGAACATGATCAAGCTCAGCTGCGCCAGCGACCAAAACAGCTGAATGGCTACCGGTAGTTTCCATGACCACGAACCCGGTATTCTCAAAGCTCCGTAAGAGGCCCAAGCCGCGGTGATGGAGCCGATGAAGTAGCATGTGTTGAAGAGCGCACCTGCAACGGCCCTCTGGCGTGGATGTGCAAGCTCGACGAGTAGAGCGGAGGAGGAAATCGTGTTTGAAATACTAGAAAAGCCGACGAGTATACGCATGCCGAGAAATTGATCGAATCTCGTACAGAAGATCTGCCCTGTAAAGCCGGCTATCATCCCGATGTTTCCAAAGATGATTCCTACGCGGCGACCGTACTTGTCTGATAGCCATGGTGCTGGAAAGAAAGCGGCGATGCATCCCATGGACTGGGCAGCGGTGACTAGTCCGAGCAGCTTCGGATGGGAAAGCCCTTGTATGTCTTGGAAGTATCTGGGGTTGGCAATGAGATTGGAGATGAGAGAGCTGATGTAACCATTCGTTATGGCGCCTATGTAGCTTGAAAGGAGCAAGAAGTTGAGTTTCTTCATGCCCGGATCTTTCCACCATTTCGGATGCGTGTTGTTGGCCAAGGTATCCATCTTGAGGTAAGTAGTCGCGATGTTCCTCTCAGTTGGAGTTGACTGTCAGTCGTACTGTTACAAGCATATATAGTTCCACACGGACAGAGTTCGGCACCTAGAAGGATATCTTAACCGGCGGATGTAAGACTTCTTTGACGTTTTCGTATCTGAGTGTCGGTGAAGCCTTAGGAATGATGATCGTCATGTTCCCGGTGCCGCGGTGTAACGTCGTAAGGTCAGGTGCTCACGATCCTAGAATTTACCATGACTCGTAGCGTCATGTACAACCAGCCATTCCCATGTGGCAGGAATTCCTTACCGCGGCGCGGTGATACTCTCCTGGAGGTTGGAGATATCGCCACTTCCGCCATGACTTCCTATTCGTCAAAACCCGCTAGGCAGGACCATCGGGCCAATTAGGACGATCCCGAACCCCCACTCGGGGAATCGGGATACCACAGTACGAACCTAGGAGCCTTCCAAAAGTGAGCTAGAATGCGTGGATTTCATGTCAGTACACCGACTGTCTGGCACACGTTAACATGCTTTCACTTACCCTGGACCCCGACCAACCAGCGTTGGGCTGAGGGGGATGTCTTTGCGGCAACGAGTCCCATTCGTCGCTGTTGCGTTCTTTCGTAGCTTCGGAGGATTAATAAAGTAAGCGTCCAGGAACCGTCTTTAAGTCCGCTTAGACTTAATGCGGTCAAGCAAAAGGTAATAATGCCTGTACAGCTCTTCCAGTAGCCGCGTAGACAAAACCCAAGAGAAGAGCTGTACCCGCCCAAGTGTGTCGCCAATAGAGTCACCCACTCCCGGTGCCTTGGCGAACAGACTGTCCGAACTGGTTCTTGTCGTACAACTGATTATCGAAGATACTTTTTGGCCTGCCCGCCACTCTCATGGCGGAGTCTTTCTCACTCATATCAGGTCCCACGCGATACTGCCCAGATGGGCCATCTTTAGAACGTCGAAGTACAGGCGGCACTTCTCATCAGAATCAGCTTCGTGGAGTGCAGCGTCCATGAGCGTGGTCCAGGCACTGATAAGGATGTCTTTGTTGCGACGGAGAAAGCATGTAACCTAACCATTGGTCAGTTCTTCGGGAACGATTGGGAGTG